TTCTAGGGTCAAAATTTTCGAAGGTAACTGCTGTTGCTTTCCTCCGACATGCAGCACAGCTAGTTTGCTTTTGAAAGCTTCTTCAGCTGAGCAGGGAGTTCAAAAAGCTCTTCACAAATAACAGGGTAGGGTTTTTCAGGCTGCCTTCTCCTACTGACAGATGCATGCTTGGAAGAAATCAATCTTTGTGGCTAGCATGGTTTCCAGATTGGATATGGGTGGTCAGTTCTTTTCAAATAAACCTCTCAAATCACTGTGACTGCTCTTCCATCTTTTACACAGACAGAAGTCCTGAACAGCAGAAGCAATTCAGATGCACAGAGATGTGGATTTGGAGTAAGAATGTAGCTGCACTTTTTCCAATGTTACCTTAAAGAGGTAATACTGAGCTATTTACCACATAGCACCACCCTATCCAAAACTCTTACACAGATTAACTTTTTCTATGTCTATTTCTACATTAGGAGTAATTGCATCTTTGTGAATTCTTGCCTCTTAATACCGCCACAACCTTGGGGAGATAAGGCAGGCAAAGTTCAAGAGTGGTAGCGAAGCCACCTGTATGTCCAGAATTGCAGAGGAGATGGCATGACCATACACAGAGGTGAAATAATGTGACAGAACAGAAAGAATACTAAAGCTAGTAGAGCATTAGTTCAATTAGTAACCAAAATTACTCACAGTCTGTTCTATTTCAATCAGTATATTTGTGTAAATGAAGGGCAGAAAAATGCTCAGATTTTTTAAAACAAAGCTTATAGATTCACTTCCCAAATACCCTTTCTTCAGGCTAGTTGCAGCAACATAGTGCATAAGGAGACACAGGATAGAACTTGAATTCTTTAGCATACATCTGGTAAAGTGCACAATATAAGAAAACATTTCAACATTACTCAGCTGGCTGCTACATTATTTCTGCCAATCAGATAAATGAATGCACGGGGTTACATTTGTAGTCCTTATTTATGCAGCTAGATTTAGAATCCACCTCTCTTAATCCTCCTTTAAAGTAATCCCCTTTTATGTGTTCATTTTAATTGTGCATCTTGCTGATGCCTATTTTTTGTTTAACATAGCAAACAGAAAGCCATCAAGTAAGTAAGAGCATAGAAGGACTATTTCACAAGAGACTATTTTGTAACACAATATTGAAAAACTACAAAAGCAATTTTTTTAATGGCGTAACTATCATCTAATTCCTGCATGAAGATTGAAGTAGCCTTTATATGCTCTGTTATGTGAATTACCCTAATTCTCCTAGAAGGGCAATGACATGGTTCAGAATGATAGCACTGCAGTATCTTTGCTTAACTTCTCTGGCCAATCATAAAAATGTTCAAATAAAGTGTATTTTAAAGTAATTGTGCTGACGTGTCAGACTGGGAGGTAACATTACCTAAGAACTGTATCCAATCCATGAAGCTGGGTCGGCACCTAAGAACCAGCCTTTGAAATCTCAGAGGCCTTTTCCTTGAGTTTGATGGATGAGCATGGCTGCAGTGGCAGGATACACCAGCTGCCTGAGCAGCATTCCAAAGAGGGAGTTCAACTGGAGCAGAAACACATCTTGGAAGCACTGTGTCACCTGCACCAAAATTAAAAGGAAAAGGGTGCTTTCTGCCTGATTTTTTCCCCTGTGGCCATTTTTTAAAAGGAGTAACATTTTTGGAGAGAAGCAACAGTGCATACACAGAAAAGAACTTTTGTCCTACAGTTGTTTTGGGTACTTGAATATATCTTATTTGCTTCTTACTATTCCTACTTGGTGGCATTTCATTATCTGCCTGGCTGTAGTGAAACCCTGATGCCATGGGTTGAAATTTTCTTCACTGCAGGAATCTTCCTCTATTGGTTCATGGCTAAAGCGTTTTGTACTTGAATAATAGTAGAGACCTGCATCTATGCTCATTAATTAAACACAATGGTATAGTAGCTCTGGCACCATTTACTTCTTTTTTTTTGGAGCAGAAAGGATTATTAGTAAACTAAGGACAAAATCAATTACAACACTCATTACTGCCTGAAGGAAGTGGAGCAGAATGAAGATTGCTTCCACTGCTGTTGAAAATTTTACATATATCCTTTTAAAATCATAGAATCACTGAGAAAGTTTCATTCTTCTGGCTGCGTCAGCTTTTTTAGTGTTGCAGACTGAAAGCTACTGTGTCTAAGTGAAGAGGTTGAGTGATGAAGATTGTAGATGAATCTGTAGACAGAATAAGATAAATGGATTTTTCCTGACTAAGTCACCAGTACTATTTGGCTATATTTTATATCCCCTCAAAGGGTTTCATATAGCTACACTAGACTAGATTTTTTTTCTATCTGCCTTCCTACAATAAGCTGACACAGTCTCCCCATGTTTTTGGAACAGCTCAAAACTGACCTAAAATTTCCAAGATATATGACAAAATTTTGCGTATTTGAGTACTTTTGCAGTAAAGAAGATGATTTTATTTGAATGGTATAAATGAAATTTAGAATGCTGTAAATACTTAAAATTAGGTGGAGAATAACTTCTTTTTATATCCCAGAACACTCACTCCATCACTGTTTAATGGAGTAAGATTTTCCCTAGGATATATCTTTTTAGCCTGCAAAGCATAATCAAGATTTTTTCTTGTTTCAAGTTTGGAAGCAAACAATACTATGTAAGCCATCCTTATCTTTCAAAGTTCAGTCCGTTATCCTGGATAATTATATCATTCCAATCATCATACTTTCTAAGAATCTGTTTAATATTGGAAGCAGTAGTAGAAAACTCATTAGAAAAATAGCATAGTAAAAATTCAGTTTGAAAAATTATTGAGATACTCTCTTAATTTTCTATTCATTTATTTTTGTAATTATTATTGTCCTAGCTTTATAGCTTGGCAGTTACAGAAATAGCGTAATTACTATTAGCATCCAATAAAACATTTTAAAGTACTTTCATAAAACTGAAAATCATCTAGTTTGTGCCTCAGAAATTTGCAATGGAAAATGAAGAATGAACCCCACGATTCAGAAGTTATTTAATATTCCCTTGTGTTATTTTAGTGATCAGCAGGAAATGCTTCCAAATTACTAATGGCATTTCACAGTTCTTTTAAAAAAGTGCATACTTTCAGTTTTAAAGATTTAACATATGTGTCAACAGTGGCAATTTAAAATAACATTTTTGTTTCAAATAATCCATATTAATTTCATATTTAGCATTATATGTGTCTTAACCTCAAAGTAATGGCTCTTGATATAAGAGCTGTAGGACATACGAAGAAATAAGCCAATATTTTTAGGTTCAGGCTTAGGCTGTATTTCTAAAAAATGCAAAAAAAGAGAATTACTTCTTGCTGCAATTGCCATATATTTTCCATCCTGAATAAGAAGTCCCATTTAAATATAACTTTTTGGTGAGTACTGTCTCCATACCCTCCCACAGGCACAAATAAAACAATAATTTTTCATATCATAAGTCAATGTACAGTTTTGTACTAGTGTAATCATACATGGTTATGATTAATGACCTGCCTGTGGCATTTTCATAAGGGCTGGAACTTCAATGTATAAGTTAAAATATTGGTTCCATTAAAATCAATAATACAATTCCCAGTGACTTAAGATGTTCAAGAATTTCACACACTGCCCTTTGCTTCACATTGTTCTTGATTATTCATTTAGAGATTAAATGAGAGATGAAAAATATCAGATTTTATCTATTCATAATCTTTTAGATAAGCTCTATACACTGTTGTTTCTTTGACATACATAAATATTCTTGCTAAGTACAAAGAAATCTGACTTTCAAGTAGCTCTGTCCAAATCATGTGAAAGCAACTACTGAGTTGATGCTTCCCTTGTAATGCTGTATAGATACATACAGAAAAGCATATCCAAGTTTCAGTAATTATGTATTCATATATTTGATTGTGCAGGGTTGTGAAGATTAGAAATTTAAATTTGTTTTAAGCCTGAAAATACTTTAAACACTCTTCTAGAAATCACATATAGAAAATATTTTCAGTTCCTAAATAAATAATCATTCAATCCCTCTTCTGCATATAGTAAATATGGATGTTAAGTAAAAATAAATCTAATGCTAAGTAAGGGGTAAGAGACATAAAGCAGACAAAAAAAAGATTTTTTCATGTATTCTTTCCTTTGGCCCATTGTGTGATGTCAGTGTTGCAGAGCAGGAAGCTGTACCAACAAAGCACCAGCATTCCCCTCTTGCATGTCAGCGTGGTTCTACTGCTCACTCTCTATCACAACATGGGCACCAAACACACAAATTACAAGAAAAAAAAGAACCTCAACTTGATTCAATGTTATTACCTGATATATATCCATTAAAGCACTTTGTCTTCAGGTGCTTCTGGGCCATTTAATCCTTATACTCATATTTGTCTGCATTAATTGTACTGCATTTCAGAAGGCTCCACTTCATGTGGCATTGTGTTCTACTAACTAAAACGTCTAGTTACAAAGAAGGTTGCCAAACATACACACACACACAAAAAAAAAACCCAAAAAAAAAAAAAAACCACACAAAAAAAACACCAAACAGAGAGAAAGGGATGATATCAAGGTATGGGGTTTATGATTAAGATGAGCCCTGTGACTTCATGTGTCTATATGTAAAACTGGCATTTACATGGACATTTTTATAAAGGCATTTGGTGAGAATTGATATCTCAGTATCTTTGGCAAAGACTGATATGTTGATAAAACTATATAACATACTACACAGTCCAAACTGCAAAATTTTTTAGTTACATTTTAGCCATCTGAAGAGAATGCAAGCAATTAGATAAAACTTTGGTGTCAAAGAGAAGACTGACTGATCCTAAACTATGCTATACTGTAAAACAGGTGCTCAGTAACATCAAAGTACTAAATTCTTTGACTACACTGACCCTGAGCACCATTACTGACATATATATTCTTGACCCAAATATGTCAGAAATGACTGGTTCAGTGCTGCCATCAGAAGGCACAAGAGCTGAAAAGGAGATTTTTACCTGAACAGCCTGATTATATCAGGATTTGAATTCTTGTTCTTCCCAATGAAATGCTGAATTTGTCAGGAGAGAACCGTGCCAAATCTTGGGCAACAATTTCTGTATGTACCGGTGCAGTTGACCTAGGATAGCAAAACATGGAAACAATAATTTGTAACTGTAGCTATCACATAGCATAGATTAGCAGCTGAACTGAAGAAAGGCATACTAGAATCCTGACAGCAAGAAGGTTTGCAGAATCCCATTTTATGCTTTTACTTGCAAGGAGTATGAACACAGAGATAAAAAGCTGGCATGTTTCATCGTCCCTCTACTCTGGCCAGGTCTAATGGAATTCTGGCTATCAATAAAACAAAAGGGTGATTGAATTTTGACACTCTTCTTGTGAAAGTGAATAATAAACCAGAAAACTTTCATCTTTGACCATGGTTCAAGAGAAATTACCCTTGTGTTTCATGTTAAATTAATATTTGATGTAATTCCATTTAAAATTTGGAGTTATACACTATAATTTGGTTATAATGATTTAATTTCAGTTTGATTAGATGTGCTTCAGCTTATTGTCATATTCATTAACTACATCCACTGCCATGGGAGTGTAATGCTAATCTGTTTGTTTGGATTAATTCCCCCCAGTGAAACAACCTGGGCAGAAGTGCTCTTTCTGGGTTTTACAGATATGTTATGTCTACTTCTAAATCAAGAGTATGAACTTGAGATTACTGTCTCTGCTGTAAACATAGGTAAAGAAAAACTGGAGTTCCAACAAAGTGCCAGGGTGATGATGCTTACTTATCTTGATTCACTAATTGATTTTCTGGCCTTAGATATCTTTAAAAAGCAGCTGGGCTTTTTAAATACGGTAATTTTTCATAAACTGATGAGTAACATTGAGATTTAGAGCCTCCCAGCAAACATTCCTGCTATGAAAATTCTCAAAAGAACACATTTACAATATTTACCCCTAAATTTTGTTTTACTGTTATACACTGTTTCTGAAAATCCTCAAGACTCCCAGAAGCATTCTTTTCCTACATTTCTGTATTCACATAAAGATTTTCACCCTTCAGCAATTCTTTTGCAACTGAAGCCAATAGGACTTTTGTTTGTAAGGACATGGGAAGTATGTATCTGCATTACAAATTATGCCAAGGATTTTTTAAGTCAAAATATGATTTCAACTGATCAGAGGATCACCTTATCTCATTCTTTTGAGATCTTGAATTTGTTTTGATCCCTAATACAGACTGACATAAAAATGAAGTTAAATATTATAGGTGGCCTCAGACCCATCTACAAAACCAGATGTAAATCCAGGGCTAATCAAGATTCAGTACTGAATTATAGGCTTGAAATATCACATGCCTGGGTGAAGGAGTGCCATAAAGAGAACTTTGTGTACGTTGCTAAATAAGATCTTAAATGCTCAACTCAGTATCTTGTTAATAAAACAGTACTTGCCCATAATGAACAAACCATGATCTTACCAGAGGGTCAGTCCAAAGGATTCTCAAAACAAGAACCACCACTTCAATGCTGGCTACTTTGAACATCGGTATTTCTGTGTTGAACTGAGAAAAAAGCACAGAAAACATAAACAAAGGATGTTTGAATAAAAATATGTAATGTTTACTGCAAAAAGCCGAACTACATCAAAACTATTCTTGGGAGTTCTTGCTTGAACAGAAATTAATCCTGAACTTGAAAGAAAGACTTTAAATTTTATGATAATTATTTTAAGTGCAAAATGCTAATAAGAAAGCTTTAGGGGAAAAAAACCTAAATACACACCAGTAAAATTACCTACTGCTAATTTATATTTTAATTATAAATTGATTTTACCCAACTGTTTCTTGTAGTTGTTTCAGTATTTATCTAAATTCAAACTGCAAAGTGCGCTGGGTCTGAGTTCTTACTGTTTCCTTTGATATCCTCCCTGAACAGTTCTGGTCCTACTCTTGCCCCAAGAATAGCCCTCTAGGGATCTCACTGAATAAACATTGCTTAGGACTATTTTACTTACATCCTATCTGATAAATTCATTCATTACACAGAATAGATCAAGCATAGTAGCACAACATTCAGCACAAGTAGAAAAGGGATGTCAGGGAAACAAAAATAATGGCAAAATCTGTAGGGTATTTAGTGAAAGGATTTGTTCAGATTCTTAATCTAGCCTTAGCCTATTCCATGCAGTGTCTAAGAGGGAGAGTGGGAAAGAATAGATCAAACATCTCTAAGGCTATATATTAAGGAAAAAATATCCATGCTTATTAGGCCTTTTAAAATTGAGAGTAATATAATTTTTAATAAATGAATTGCTATTTAAATTGAAATTATTGTCTCCTTCCCCTACCAAAAGATTCACACTGGAGACTGCAAAAGAAAAAACAGTTATTTCTCTCTGTCCTACTCATACTTTAAGGCCACTGGCCAATGGAAAGACTACTAAAAGTCCATGTGAATTCATAGTAGTGCTTGACATTTCATGCTGGTTTTAGCATCAGGCAGAAATTAAACTCCAAATAATCCAGTCTCCTTCTCTCGTCCTTTCTGGTAAAGCAGAGAATATGGGTTGGGGTCACAATTTACTGAAAGTGCAAAGCAAGGATAAGACATGCACAACAATAACAGCAACATTAACAGCAAAACCTTACAAAAAGAGGAGGTGTTTCACCCTCAAAAGGTGTTTACCACTGGAAACAAAACGCTGTGGGGTTGCCATTTTTCTGTCACTCCCCTGGGCACCTTTGGGCTCAGCCCGGCTCCCTCTTGGCTCAGCTGTGACTGGCACCACTGCTCTTGATCCCTACAGTATTACAAAAGTCAGACCCATCCTGCACATCAAGACCAATCTTCTTGCTACACTTTGAAAAATACATTTGGTTGCATAAATGTTCGGAACAGCAACTGTGCAATTTATTAAAGCATGGAAAGAAGTATCTGAAACCAGCAGCTGGTTCATATTAATCGTTTGTCAAGACATAGATAGGCTACAGAGCTAGCTCTTTAAAAATGAGGTTTGCGTCCCATAAAGTCAGATAAGGATCTTTGCTGTTGTGCTTTGCTTTCCAACTTTGCTCTGTGTAGCCAACATCAAGCAGTGTCTCATGCTGTTGGTTTGTAACATGTGGAAAAGTCAAATATTCAAGAAAATTTTTAACATATTGAGGGATCTTGTCTCATGTCACTTTCTCAGTTATTCTGTATCTTACAAAAAAAAATGTGACTTTGACATTTTATACTGCTTCCTACATCTGTATCTTGGAAATTTCAGAGCTGTTTGAACAGTAATGCACAATAATCCAACAGACATCTGTCAAGCCCAGACATACCAGAAGCAATGATTTCCTGTGGCTGATTTGGGACAAGGTGATTAATCAGATATTCTCTTTTGCTCAGACCTCCTGTAGAATTCTCAAGAAGAATGTTTGAAAGTAACAGCTGCTTGCTCATCCTCAGCCAAATTCAGATCTCTTAAAATTCAGCATGGTCCTATATGTAGAACAGAGAAAGCCACCAAGGTAATGCAGATTCTAGGAAGAATAGCAGCCATAGTTTTCTAGTAACAACTTGACAAATATACTGCAAAAGTAATTACAACACTTGAGCCAATATTCTATCATTAGGTTTCAAGTGTAGGGTTTTCAGTTCTTCCTCACTGGCAAAACTTTTAAAATCTTATCTGACATATCTTATTGTGTCTTTCATTTTTACAGTCTTTTTTTCCTTGCTGGTATTGTTGCAGATATGAATCATAAAGTGTATTTGCATAGTATTAGGAGTCTATTTTCTTTTTTTACATGCAAGATGGAACACAATTCTTTAGTTCTAAAAAATGTAGCTATTCAAAATGTGACTCATGAAATACTCAAGCTCTTAAGCATTTCAAAATACTGCTAATGAGGCTGTCATTCAATCACTCATTTGGGCATACCTCTAATTTTGAACATGGACCCATTGAACCCAACTCTTGAAGATAACAATGAAATTCAGGACCTTGCTGGATCAGAACCCAAACAAGGTTCATTTCAATCTACGAGAGCAGCCATTAAAAAGGTGGCTAGTCTAAGCCACTTACAAACAAGAGATTTAATACATTTTCATCTTTTCTGTTCTTCATGTACCTAGAGACAAATAATCCTTGAGACACAGAGTCCAGCATATTGGAGCCCAAAACAGCATCTTACTAGTCCAGTCATATTTAAATTTAGTGGCAGAAACAGGAAATTTACCTGTTTTCTCAATATCTGTTAAATACACCATCTCCTTTACTGTTATCTTCCCCTTCCATTTCTGTGCTCTCCTGTCACTCCCACCCACCCCTTTCTCCTGCCAAAAACATGAAATGAAAAACATACAGAAATGTCAAGGACAGACAGTTTTGTTATTGATACATAGAAATGGCTTACAGCTAAGTAATGACAAGTTTAGTCAGGAGTCATCCAACTACATTCTCTTTCCTAAAAAAGAAAAAGATAAAGCATTCACCTGCAAATATCTCCCATGGCCTTAGTATATCCCATTGGTGACAGGCTATTAAAACAGCAGTCTAATTTACTACCCTTCATTACTATCCTTTGTCTCACTAAACATTTATTTCACATCTATCAAACCATTCAGTGTTACTTCCTGTTTCATATCATAATTAGGATACCCAGAAAAAATAATTTATTGCTATTTTGTGTAGTATATGGCACAGTCAATAAAAAAACCTCTAACATCTTCTGGATACTTTATTTATTTTGGGGCTGTGTTTGCCTCCATTTCTTTTATTGCAGCTCTACTCACAGCTTTGCACTCGAACCATCATGGCTGCTACATTTACAGTGTTCTCTCTAAATGACTCACTTTTCTTCTTTTGTCAGTGTCTCTGGGTTCTTTAAGGGATCTCATTGATCAGAAGACAATAGAGCTGACACTTTAATTCAGCACTATCCAGTGTGTGCTTCTGCAATTCCTTGAAGTGCACTGAAATTCCAGAACATCCTACTTTGGATTAAAAAGTTGGCTCTAAAAATATCCAGGTTTGTCTTGGTTTCAGGTTTTGAATATATGTGAAAACAGGAAGGGCGAGAAAGGAAATATTAGTTTAAAGAAACCCACAGACTTTCAAACCAATGTTTTTGTTCAGCCACATCACAAAAGGAATAAAAGGAATTTAAGGGAGAGTTTTGAATGAAAGAAGAATCAAATGTTCACATTCTCCACAAGGGAGAATTCCAATTCGACCCAACTACAAAATCATATATGATAAAACCACCCTCTTAATCAGGCCAGGATTCAACGAGACAAAAAAAAAAATAAAAGAAAAAGAAATAAAATGTGTTAGCAAGCTGAGCAGTTTTTGTCAAGATTGAAAAAATGTTTTACACAGTCCTAGGAGCCTCAGACTCTGCAATTGTCAGGCAACATCTCCTGTGACACAGACATACTGAGGAACATGAGAGCAGCGAACAGACACTTAGGATAAATGAAGTCTTAACCCAATTCCATCAGAGATGAACAATGAAATCTCAACTCCTTTTAATGCTGAAGGAAATTTCCCACACACAACTTAGTCTATTAAGCTCTCCTCAACTGTATGTAAGTAAAATTTTACAGTACTACTTCTTCAGACTTCCAAATACATAACATAGAATAATTCATAGCTTCTATAGACGTAGTAAAATATATTAAAATATTTATATATCAAAAGCATGTGACCTCAAATAAAGCCATGATTGGCTGAATGTCTCCTTTCTATTAAGCTGTGGTCATCATTACAAACCTACTCAAATTTCCCGTATTTGATTCCTTTGCAATGTATGTATTTTTCTAAATGAGAATTTTCTCCCAATCTCAGGTGTATCTTAATGTCTTGTTGTGCAGAACTTTACATGATTCCTTCCACAATTTCATTAGTCTTATTAAGGTATTTATTGATGCTTTCTAAGAAGGTAATTCCAATACTGTGGAATTACCATATTTTCTTCTGAGAATGAGAAAGATCCCAAGTGTAAAACTTTCTTTATCCCTGGAGCAACAGGACTGAAACATGGCCCTGGAGAACTCAGTCCAGAACTTTTAATTCTCCAGGGACACAATGTCTTTAGGCATTCAGACTGATTTATTAATAAAAATAGAATCTGGGCTATCACCTGACCTTCACAGCAGGAGTTCTTCATTTTTTATCCAGCTCTCAGACTGCTACTATCACAATAAATCAATCTGCAATGCTTATTGAAGTTTCAGCAAAACTTATCATGGATTGTATACAGTCAGTACCTTTTATCAATTTTCTCTAAAAATAAGGCTTTTCCTGAGAAAACTATAGTAACATAAACTACACTTTTTTCATACACTTACACTTTTTCAGAAGGCTTAAAATACTGAAAGGACTCTCAGAGGCATTCTAATTAATTCTAAAAGCATGAAAATGGGAGGCAAAACACTTGGCATCACTTGTAGAAACAGGATGTGATCAGATTTAAAAAAATATGGATGTCCCCTGTGTATGTCTGCTCTGCCTTAGATGTGCACTTGTTGAAAATTATTACTGGTTTCACTAGACTGTCTTGTCTGAAAAAGTGCTCTCTCCTGCACTGTTTTGTTTACAAATGTTGTTTGTGGAGTGAAGTGTTGTCAGTGGAATGCTTGAATAATACTGTGGACATACTGAATGTGAAACTGCTCTCTCACTGGAGAAAATGGGAGCAACTCTGGCCAAGTCATTAAAATATGTTGGTTTCAAGTAACTTTAAGGGCACACTCCGGGCTATATAGGGTTTTTTATGAAGATTTCAATGTAATCAATAAATAATAAGATATTAAATCTTAAATTCACTCTAAGGTATATAGTACCTGGTTTTAAAACTTAATGAATTGAGCACAGAATTGTGGCACAGTTGAAGCAAATTTCAGGAGGATGATGATTTGTGCTGATGCGCTGGACTAGGCATTGAATGATCTTGGATCCACTCCCAGTTCTGCCCTCAACTTCATCTAGAGCCACATAAGCTTCTTTAGACAACACTGCAAAGCTGTTTAGATATTTTAAGATGCACAGAGGTGTCTGCTAGGGTTTTGAAAACAACTACACTTGGCAATTATATCCTCTGGAATTTGGAGACTCAACCTCAAATGTGGCCTGTAGACAAATGATAAAGAGCATAGAGTGCTTGTTCAGACAATACTTGATCCAAGTCTCAATTTGATCACCACACCTCAGCAACTGACTCTAAGAGTTAAGTCAATAGTCAATACCTCCTCACTGCTGGGGACAGCTCACTTTCTGTACCTGACAGAATTTAAATTCCTGTGATTTAGGGCAATTAGCCAGCCCGTAGTCACTAAGAGAATTTTGAATGGATAATCCTTTGGTTACCAGAATAAATATAAATCCCATCATTTAACCATGGATATGAGTTTCTGGTTGAGGTTTCTACATCTTTTTTTTTTTTTTTTCCTTCAGTACTGCTAGGGGATAAATGTATTAATGTCCTCTGGAGAGATTCTAACTGACTCAGACAGCGTCAAAAGAAAATTTTGAGCAGAATAATTTGTCATGTTGAAGCTAGACATATTCTCAGAGAAAATATGTAAATAATTGGGAGTTCACAAACATTTTCATTTTACTGGTTACTCACATAAGGATTCTAATTAGTGCAAATCACTAAAGCCCAAATCACTGAAATCCACTGACAATAAGACTCTTTTATGTTCCTTAACCCTTCCTGAAGTGATTTAAAATTAATCCGCATGGCAGAGTAGATAGAACTGTAACCTAAAATCTGTAAGGCCCTAGAAGGTCCAGAAGAGGGAGTAATTCCCAGAGATTATTTTTTTAAGAGGGATTAATGTGCAAGATACCTTTCAGGGCACGAATGACACTTGTATGGAATATCTTAGCTCCGTTAATTCAAGACTTTCTATATAGCCAATGCACTGGGCTACAACTGGAAGTAAAAGAGAAGAGTATGAGAACAGCAGAAGATAGAAACTACAACTGTTGATATGCTAAGATCAGGATGACTAAATCCAGTGGGCAAATACACTTTTGTGCTGTTTTACTGGATGCTTTCCAAGAATCACAGAACCATCAAGGCTGGAAGGGAACTCTGGACATTACCTATTCCAACCCCTGCTGCCAAGGCAGGGTCACCTAAAACAGGATATACAGGAACATGGCAGGTGGGTTTTGAATGTCTCCAGAGAGGCTCCACGTCCTCCCCAGGCAGCCTGTTCCAGTGCTCTGCCACCCACAATGTGAAGAAGTTCTTCCACATGTTGAGGTGGAGTTTCTTGTGTTTTAGTTTACGGGCATCGCTCCTCATTGTTCTGCTGGGCACTGCTGAAAATTTCTTGGAAAATATATGTACCTGCTAGCTGCAGACCCACACAATAATCTTCCACAGGGCATAGAAACTCCTACACTGAACATCAGGCATGTGTTTGTCCACCATTGAACATATGAGCGAATGTACCATTGATTTCCAATTTGAGAATGATATTCCTAATAGTGTAAGGCAGGGAAATACTGTTTCAAGCATAAATCCACAGTATTTAGGATGCCAAGATTGTATCACCTCTGGTGCCAAGCACATGGCCCATCTAAATGTAGTAGGGTGGGACAAATTGCAATGGCCATAATAATCATTAACAAAAAAAAGATGCTCTAGTGAGAGTGCATTAATACCTTGAGAGGACATATCACTCCATTCTGGAAAGCAGTTACCAAAATATGACAGAGGTCAAGGAACTTAAATGCTTTTGAACACTGCACAAATCATCCCAATTGTTGGAATGATACTTGCATATGAACACATCAATATTGCCTGTATACAAAATAAATGAATAATTAAAATATGTAAAGAAAACAGCCTAAGCTGTTTGTTTTGCTATTTAAAACAACAGGTTTACATAGTGCAATGAAATATTTATTCACCATGTTTTCCTTTTGCTGATCTATTTTTCTGGATTGATTACCTCTGAAAGCTTTCCTGACATGAGCTTTTGTATGCTGACAAAGGCGAGGTGAAGTGAAGCATCTTGATTAGCTCCAATGCAGATCAGCTTCTAGGCAAGCTTACCAGAGCAAGAAGAACAGAGAGCATGTGGTCAGGGAAATGCATTGAGGGTAAATTAGTTTTTAAAGAGAAGAGCAATCCACCCTCATATTTTCACAGAACTACTAGCAGATAATACTTACAACTGAGCTTTTAAATTTTGGGTCAGTTCTTTTGAGAAACAGTAACAACAAGAATGGCTAAATTTGATTGCTGTGAAAGCTGTAGGTATTCTGACAATGTGATGCCTCATACTTAGCAGGCTTCAAACCACACCCATGCCTGGACTCCTAAGATCCCCTGACCTTGTCAAACCTTCATTATACTGGACTGAAACTACACCACTGTACATTATCTATACACATGTCCCTGAAAAACTATATTTTAACAAAATTCCACAGTTTTATGAGTACTTACTGAACTTAAAAGGGAACTACTGAACTACTTCTGCATAGTATATTTACATCCTCCAAAGGATTATGTTGCCCTTCCCATACATGAGGGTCTAGCTCTACTGTTAAATTCAACCTTCTAAAGCCTATGAAAACCACTGCTTACACTGTGCAGGGAGATGCACAACTGTTTGGCTGCCATTTTAAATACTATTGACCAGGTGCTTTATCTGTGCTTCCCTTTCCAGTTTAGCCCACTGAAGTTTTAGCAATTGTTGGGGCACAGATTGTTAGTAGCTACGTGTTACCTCAGTATCACATATATCACAGAATCTTAGAATAAGCTGAGTTGGAAGGGACCCCCAAGTCCAATTCCCTGCAGGGTACCATCCCTAGGAGTCATACGCCTGTATACCTATTCATTATAAGCAGTAATGTATTACTTAAGAGTATAATTAGTTTATGTGTAATCTGCCAGCAGAATAAATGAGATATCTTTATTTCCATTTAAGGTTATGATATGATTTGATAAATTAAACCTAAAGTATACATAGAGGTTTATTCTACACACTGTTCTAATTTAGTCTCAAATCTTTTAGGATTTTAAAATTGGTTTATTTTTCTGTGTCTTCAGCAAAATCTAGTGAAAATAATATTTTCCTTAAAAATGACCTTTCCTGAAATTGTATTTTATGGGTTTATTATTTCATAATTTATTAAAAATATGTAAGCACCATTAAATTTATTAATAAATCATCTAAGCTCCTACTGACACAACAAGCTCCAACAAATAGCTATATTACCCAAGAAATTAAAGAAGAATTAAAAAGTACAAACAAAAATGTGACAAATTTGCAGATATATTATAGATGTTATGTTCTGTTGAGGAAAAAAAATTATGTTGTCTAGCATGAAAAGATCACCATCCCAATAACAATCCTCAGTAACTACAGAGTCTGCTCAAGTCAGTGCCAACTAATTGCTGAACAGTTTAAAAGGGACCTGGGGAGGATTTTAGGCCTGATCAGTCTCTACCACAATCTTGATCTTGTGCAGGCCACTGATCATGTAATTTATCTGCCTTACAAAAACTCCAATTTATGCTGATTTTTAATAGCTGTAGTAGCAGCATTTTAAAAGGAATAATAATGTTTTTAATTAATAATTAACTAAATACCAAATAAACAACTTGCTAGCTTCTTTTACTTTGACTACTACATTTTTCACTGTTAATTTCCAATCTTTTGTTATTAATTTCCAATAAAGATTTCAGCCAAATGAATGAGTACTCATTGCTCAGTAACTCCATTTGACAGCTTCTATCTAGCAAGATGTATCAAAGCAATTTTCTTACTACAACACAAAACACATGGATTTTTTTATCTTTCCCCATCCTCAGGATAAATACAAAATACAGATTTTAAGAAATGCAGCACAGACTAAGGATGAAGTCGAATATGATAACAGATCAGATGTGCTACAGCACTGAAGGGTCACAAAAGCCATCTCAGCTCTTCTGCCAAAGTGCCTAATTCAAATTCTAGTGCTCAACTAAGTCAGAGTTTATTATTCCTTTCATATTTCTATGAATATTACAGACCATTGTACATGATAATTTGACTTCAAAGCTATCGACTAAGGTGAGAGAGGAAATGCCCACCTGACCTGATGATGTTGCAGCTTGTGGCTGCAAAAAAGTACTTCAGCAAACCATTTAAGATATGTGTATTTAAGATTTCCTAAAGCCATTTTGCCATTAGTAATTTTTAGCAATTAATTCATAATGGGAATAGATTTTTTTCAAATTCCATTCCTTACTACTGGTAAAACAACCAAAAAATATAGGTTGGCTGCTTGTTCTCATCCATACATCAGTTCCTTTTGCATACATACAATTGTCACCAGAAAGAAAGAATAGAAGCTTGAAGGTCAAAGACTATAGGGAAGCCCAAAGGAAATAAAATGTCAAATATCTACCCATGCTAATAGAAACATAAAGGATTACAGTCTGAACAATATTATCTTTTTACCTCATTATGAAATCTTGCAAACATTTGCAATCTTGCAGCTCAATTGCTTTTAGAAAACAGTAATTTCAATGAAAATTTATGATCTCTAGTTCTGGCTCCAGAAACTAATTTTTAAAAATATTTTCAACACAAAAAGAAAAAACAAAACAAAACAACAAAAAAAACCCACCCAACCAAAAAAAACCACCCTAAAATCAAACAAAACAAATCCCCCCTCCCAAAAAAACCAAAAAAGCAAAAAAACAACCAAACAAAAAACAACCAGCAGACATTCAGATAGGCCTATTTCTGCACACATCCTTAAGGTCATTGGGTTATTTTAATGCTTTTTGCAATGTTCCATTTATTTCACACTATAGGGACAATGCAGTTACTATGTTTTCACTAATAGCAGGCTCCAAGAGAAAAAACCAAAAAAATGAGCCAATGATAACTTTTTTTATCTTCAGCTGGGCTGCAAACTCTGAATTCATTCCTGAACATCCAAAATGTTAATCTTTGCAAGTCTAGGAAAAAAGTGTAAAAAACTTCTAAGCTTTAGAACAGAAAGTTCAAGCACCTCCTCTGGTTACCAAAAGCACCTCTGCTGTAGATCTAAGAACTTAAGGATTTTGCCCGGAATATAAACTGAAGCTGCATTGGCACCTACGATTTCATATAGGCAGAAGTTTCTCTTCTGCATAGAAAGATAATCAAATTCTCTCTTACATTTTCTAGTTACTGCTCTGTCCCTCCCCTATAAATGAGGTGGCAAAAAAACATGGCACACTTATTCAATATAGTCATGATACAAATATAACACAGGACAGGAAACAGCCCTCACACATCTGTCTCAACATTTGGGACTTTACCAAAAAGAATGTAGAGTAGAGCAAAAATTGGCTCTACCATGTAAACATACACCACCTACAAGATCTTCCCAAACCATCCTATTTTACATAATGACTCTCTTTTTCTGGAAGTATTTGTGCAAAAGACAAAACAAAGATCTTGCATTAATTTTAAAATTATGTAGTATTGTGTGCTTTGTCCATTTTGAAAGCTGCACTGCTAACACAAAGGATCTGTTATTAGAATGTCTTCTAGCACTGACAGAAATGATTTAGGAGTAAGATTTCACATATAAAGTTCACAATGACATTTTTCCTATGCTAAAATTTAATTCAAGAGGCATTTGCTGCATTTTAATAAAATGTGTCAGTGATTTCAGTATTTTTTCTGATTCTCTGTGGGAAATGGAGAAAATTTTATTTTACATCCAGTTTAGTTCCCTTGCTGAGGCTTTAAGATATATTCTGGTTTTGAGTGTCATTTTCAAATTATCTGCCAATCTCTGTTCTCAGTACTTACTCTTGCTAAGAGTATTTTTTTTACCATATGTTCACTATTACTCAACTGTTAAATGTATTTTGAAATACATTCTTTGACTGAGCATCTAATTTATGAAATAGTTATGTGTTCCTATCTTCCCTGATCATTGTCTCAGAGAAAGAACAGGTCATTGATTAGATTGCTTTCCACACTCAATGTATATTATATTGCTCAGCTTAACCTTAGATGATTTCATAACTGGTTTTGAATGAAGTACTTGTATGCAGAAGGTTTATTAGATTAACTAATCTATTTTCCAGCTAGAGAAGACCTTTAACATCACTTTCTGACTTCCAGTTAGGAGCCAGGAATTGGGTATGACAAAACAAGATTAACACCCACATATTTACCTGAAACCCCAGAACCCAGGATGCACTTCACCGCTTGAGACAGAAAGAAGGGTTATTCTGTTGCCTCAATTTTCTCCATTCAGGAAGGGAGGAAATACAAGAATTATACACTTAGCACAGACCTAAAACAATACTATAAACACAGCAATTAAAATCATACCTGGTTCACTGAAATGTTAATCACTGAGCCACATCAGCTTTAGCATCCTCAGCATCTCAATGCAAAATTTATCACATTTGGAAAAGGATGGGGGAGAGAGAGGAAAAGGAGGAAGAGAAAAAAAAATCAAACACCCATATAATAATAAATAATAATCCCATTTTTACTTTGTGGGATCTTTTATCTTTTCCTTTTTGTTAGATCTCATATACAATATTCTATCAATTTCTTCTTATCCCTGGACAGTTCTTTCTACCATTGTGGTTTACCTCCAACTGATACAGATAATTTTACTCCTTCAGATAAATTGTCCCCATGCAACTTTTCGACAAGTTCTCTAGAGTTGTTAATAATGGATACATTAGTTCATAAGGGATGGAAATAAGCCAATTTGATGTCAATATTAAGATAAGCAGGACTGTTCAAAGTAACTGCACAGCTTTTTTGGCTACAGTTTAGTGGCGTTCATGGAGAAAATATGCCTTGTGTTAAACAAGACATCACAGGAGATGACCATCATAAAATCTCCAACATTAAGAATAGTTAACTGAAGATGAATAAAAAACAGCTAGAATAAATCAATCAGGGCTAACAGCTAACAATGTATTCTGTTTACCCAAACATTTAAAGGCAGGGAAAGGGAGAGTTGGTATCCCAATCACCTGATCCCATCCAAGCATAACATGCTTTAAATAGAGCTAT